CCCACCGGCTTGTCTACCTTAAAAGAGACTAATGACGACAAGTTTTCGGTAAATTAAACTAAGATGGCGGCTAGAAACGCCAGTTATTACAATCAACGCACGGGAAAGTCCTAGTTATTTCTTTTTGCACATATCCAACAATTCTTAATTGACTCAATCAAGCACAACATTTTATAAATATTACTGACACTTACACAGAACCTCTATAACCTTTGATGCACTTTGACCAGACATCCCATTTGCAACGTTACAAGAGTAGTTGCCAGCCTTCTCGTATGCTGGGAAACTAAAATTTAATCGGCTTTCCATGAAAGTTTCATTAATAGCGCTGTCTGTTTGACTCAATGACACAGGAAAACCATCTTTGGTCCATGTGATATTTGGAAGAGGAAGCCCACGTCCAGAACAGGTAAGGAAGGCAATTTTCCTTGTGTGGTTGGAACCTTCACCACTCAAATGTAAGATGTATTGGTCTTTTGGTACATACGCGGTGACCTTTACTGTTAAAAAAAGGAACAAACAAGAAAAGCATTTAAAATATCCAAAAATAAATGAGGCACAAATGATGGCTTAAAAATGCCACAATGTTACAAACGAACAAAAAGAAATTTAAAAATGCATACATAAATACGGCCAAAATGAAATAAAGGCATCTTGCAATTACTTCATTTCTATCACAAAGGTCATCTACATATGATAACCGTTTCCGTTACCATTTTAAATTCTCAAAATAAGAAGCACACCCAACTTACAAATAAAAGTTCTTATCTTACCATAAACAAAAAGTGATGCAGAGGTAGACACTCTACCGGCCTTGCTGGTAGCTACACAAGTATATCGACCATCATGATGTCTTCCACGTCTAACATTGTTTAGGACCAAAGAATTGTTCTCCATTGAATGTTCCCATAGAAATGGATCATCATTGAATAACCACGTGATATTTGGCGCGGGAAAACCTGAAGCTTCACATGGGAAGATGACAGCAGATCCTTCGAACACTTTTTGATCAGTCGGCTTGACGTTTATCACTGGACGAACTGAAATAAAGTATAATTATTATCACCTTTTATTCAACTATTCAAACAACCAACCAATCTACCCATCCATGCATCAATCATTACATCCGACAATACATTAATTAACTTACCCACTTACCCAACCACCAAACTGTCCATCGATTCACCCATCCATCCAACTATTAATCAATGAGTCAATCACTTCGTCAGCAAATCAATCGATTTTTGTGTTACAATATATGTCCAAAATAAAATAATATGATGAAGTAATGCACCCATTAAATGTTCCTGTATTAAGTTATTTTGTGTGGTTGTTTCCAACCATTCATACTTATCATATTTTTGTTGTTGTATATGATACATAACGTCACTTACGAAAGACGTCTATAGCAACGCTTATCGGCTCCTGACGATACACATCATTACCCACGTGACAAAAGTACCGTCCTGCCTTGTCAATTGTCAGGTTGCCCAGGTTTAGTCTACTTTCAATAAAGGTTTGGTTGATAGCACTGTCTGTTTGATTCAGTGACACAGGGAGCCCATTCTTCGTCCACGTTATGTTTGGTAGAGGATAGCCACACCCATAACAACTGAGTTTTGCTCTTTGGGTTGTGAGAGAAAATATGTACTCTCTGGATAGTGCAACAGCTGCTATTCGAACTATGAAGGGAAAAAATCACATTCAACAGATAATATAATATATATACTTAGGCACTGCCTAAAAGCGGAGCTCCCGATACGGAAGTCACAGGTAGAACAATTTGAATGAAACTGAAAGGTAAAAATAAGATCGGGGAAAAAATCTTCAATTATTTTTTATTCGAGATGAAGATAGTGTTTCCCATAATAAAATCCATGCAGTGAAATCGAATCGAAATGCACTACATCATATTCTTTGCGCGAGTATACTCTCCCACTTAGTAATTTTGTACACCACTCACCACCACCCCCAGGGGCTAGTTTTGTTCTTGGAAGATTCTTCGACAAAGTTTTCCAAGGCCGACAGTTTTTGGCTTTGAATCTCTTTTACTTAAAAAAATGAAAGATAACTACAGATAATCCAATACAATACCAAGCTTAGTGAAATTGACCTCCGATGAAGAAATCGAAAATCTGGAGATTTATGACAAATCAAGACCAAAAAAACAGACTTGAAAACTGGTTAAGGTGAGCGAAATATAAGCTTACTTAATTACGTCTTTTACAGAACGAGACGAAGTTTACATTCAGTTAAACTTGACATGATGGGACCCCGCGATAGGAGGCGAACAAAGCTGCATTTTTCTTGAACGAAAAACATACGATAATTGGTTAAAAACAACCGCATTGTTAAAGATTTACAAAGCTAAATAAAGGACGAATATTTGTTGTAATATGCTCTTCGTGTTATATTTCATCCAGCATTAAAATAAATTAAGCTTATCTATAGCAATATTAAAAGTTTTGAGAGAAAGTCTTTGATTTGTCGATTCGTCGAGAAAAATGCTTGTCAAAAAAATAAAAAAATCTTTGACTACATGAAAGTTTTTTCAAAATTGTTTTTGGTCTATAACTTGTTCTAAAGCGATTTTTTCTGTGCATTTGAGAGCCGCATTTGTGAGTAGTTTTGCTTTGACATCAAGCGGGATTCCTGTGTTGTGTACACGGACGGACGGACGGACGGACGGAAGTGACGTCAGCCAAGCCATGAAAAATCAACTCGATGGTTTACCTTTTTTCTTAAGTATGGTGCATTAAAAACGCAGCTTTCAAAAATAATAATCTTATAAATTTTTGAAAGGCAACCCAAAACTGGTAATATTATTTCGTCTCATTTTTATTTCTTTTAAAGACTTTGAAAGCTGAAGTTCAAGACTAAAGACTGTACTTCTTAATCATAAAAAATGTCATACACTTACCATAAACAAGAAGTGATGCAGAAGTAGACACTGTACCGGCCTTGCTGGTAGCTACACAAGTATATCGCCCATCATGACTTCCATGCCTTACATTGTTTAGGACCAAAGATTCGTTCTCTATTGAATGCTTCCATGGGATTGGATTATCATTGAATAACCACGTGATATTTGGCACGGGAAAACCTGCAGGTTCACATGGCAAGATGACAGTTGATCCCTCGAACACTTTTTGATCAGTCGGCGTGACGTTTATCACTGGACGAACTGAAACCAAGGAATGTATTTCGAATAAAATTATGTATGAATAAGGCGATTATGCGATATACTGCTAAATGATAAACATCTTTTACGTTATGCCTCGGAATTTTTAACATTGAAGAGTGCAAGTTAAAATGAACTAAAATGACTGGTAGGGTAACAATATGGACCTTTTCCACACGGCGGCCATGCTTATTCATATGAGAAAAATTCATTCTCAAGCACTTGAATGCCAGGCCATGCTGCTCCGTGAAAAAGCCCCAATGTCAAAGTCATGTTTATAAGTACAAATATTCATGAGATTCATTCAGCTAATTAATACCAACCAATATTAAAATACTCTCTGGTTGGTAACACATGACGGGCATCGTCTGCTTATTGTTGCAGGCTGGTAATGAAATCGTTTTACTTGACTAAGACAATAACATTCTTCTACAAGTCACTTACTCAGTATTTCCATGGCAACGTTTATCGGCTCTTGCACTCCATTTTCTACATTACAAGAGTATCGTCCTGCTTTCTCAATTGTGAGTTTGCCCAAGTTTAGACGGCTTTCGATGAAGGTGTCGTTGATAACACTGTCTCTTTGATTCAACGACACAGGCAACCCATTCTTTGTCCATGATACAATTGGTAAAGGATAGCCACTCCCAGAACAACTGAGCTTGGCACTTTGACTTGTCAGAGAAAATATGTACCCTCTGGATAATGCATGAGCAAACAATTTTACTGGAAAATAAACAAAGACGACAGTCAGGGGTAAATTCCTTTTTATTTGAAGGAAGAAGTAGTTCTTTCGTTGTAGCCGTTAGATAAGTTCTTGGGACGTCATAGCGCTATTTTTCGTAAATTTTTCAGAAAAAAATTTATTAGATTATCTTATGTCAGATCTTTATCTCGAATCCAGCCTATATAAAACGAGGGAGGATAAGCGATGAACCCATAGAGAAACTCTCTCGCGTAACAGAAAGGAATAAAAAAGCAAAGGATGTACCAAAATTCAAAGCCAAAAAATAAAGTTTGTAGTATAAAGTTAACAATAACCAATCTTATCTTACCATAAACAATAAGTGATACAGAAGTAGACACTGCTTCGGCCTTGTTGGTAGCTACACAAGTATATCGCCCATCATGTCTTTCATGTCTAACATTGTTCAGGACCAAGGATTCGTTCTCTATTGAATGTTCCCATGGGATTGGATCATTATTGAATAACCACGTGATATTTGGCGCGGGAAAACCTGAAGCCTCACATGGCAAGATGACAGTAGATCCTTCGAACAATTTTTGATCAGTCGGCTTGACGTCTATCACTG